TATATTTGCGAATTATTTTTGTAACAAAAATGTATATTTTCTAATTATATATGGAAGTAAAATTTTAATTACGGTAAACATAATCATTATACACTACGTGTGCGTTTGATCCTAAGAAACGTTATTCCCTAACGGTTTCGTGCGTGGATATGGCGCGGAGGAATTATTGGAGCTCTCACCTACGAGCCGGAGCCTAAGCAGAGCCTAAGCTGATGCTGCACTGTGCGGAAAAGTATACAAACTCCGAACTATCACGACGCATGTCATTACCCCATCCAGTTAGCGATGAGTAGCGTATGATTAGCGGAGCGATAATCCTGTTTAGAAATTCTTTAGGAGTCTGCGAGCGTAATTACTGATTTTAATGAGCTTGCCGTAAATGACTAAAGACTAAAGCTTCCTTTGAAGGCTTGAGGCATGCTTCCGCATTCTCATTTCATCCTCTCCGTATCTGTCTTCCCAGTAGAGTCAGCCCAGAACCGCCGTTCTTGTTTCTTTCGTTACAACAAATAGATCGAAACGCGGACGCGATTATATTATCCTCATCCCGTCTAATGCAGCTGGGAAATCGTATTCCCAAAGGAAGCGAAACCGCGAAAAATAATGGCCGAGATCCATTAGATTCGTATACATCGGGCACACTTATCGAGATAACAGCTTTTCTTATTGAGAACGTTAAATAACATTAGAAGAGGAGGAAGCGTACAATTACATCTCTCACGAAAGTAGAAGTGGAAATTCATAATAATAAATAATAAAATTCATAATGTATAAATCCTGCGGGAATCAATTCATTTAAATGTCATATTAGATTAGCGTTATCCCCGCTATTGTTGCCGCGAACGCGAACGTACCGCGGAACAAATATCACCGCACAAAATATCACCGCAACGGGTGTCTGACATACTTGACGTGACTTTTGCTAACGTGGAGAAGTTCAGCAGGTTTGGCAGCACACCGGGCGGGCTTCCGTTGCTTCCGAGCTGTGGGAGCTCGTTCTCCTCCTCGTGAAACTTAACAGGCACTCGTCTGTAAGCTTGCATATGCTGTACATGTGTACCTGAAAGGTATTGCATGCGTGTGCAAGCAAACAGCACCGCGCGCGGCTACGCGACGTTATTAATTAAGTTAGTGGAACATGGAAAAATGGCTGGTTTTAATATTTACGCGGAAAATAAACAAATTTCGCGGAAAATAAACAAATTTTTAAACGAGCTTTCGAGGTAAAAAATATTAACAAATAAAAGTGAGTAAATAATACGATGAGACGTATCTTCTCCATGTCACAATGATCAAAAAGAAGAACGCAATTTCGTCTAACGTATACTTTTTAATTGATAACGGAAAATTGTCCATTTTTTTTCTGGACGGAATAACAACTGAATAATTTCGATGAAAATGAAACAGATACATACAAGGTAAATAAAGCTGTAAATACAGTTTAGTGAACGCAAATTATTTCGTTGAATATTATAACGACAATTACGCCCGCAAATGATAGTGGTGCGTAATATACGTGGAAACCCGTATGTATCGCATCAATAAGTGTTATTGATTGCCCAATAAGCCAAATAGTCTATAATATTATTTCGCTAAACATGTCACTCGTATTAAAATGCTATTATTTATCTGAGTAATCCTTCATATGATAAGGCTTAATGGCCGATTAACTCGCCATTAACAAACACGCGGCAACAAATTGTACGTGCGCTTAACATGCAGTACTAATTGTTCCGAATTAAAATGCATTCGTAACGAGGTAGAAAGCAGCCTGATGCTCGTCAGAGTAACGAAACGTATAACGCGATCACTTTTGCCGATCCTTCCTGTCTCTCTATAGAGCTACGGCGTATAGCGATCGATATCAGGAAATTAGATGGCCAGAACACAACGTCGGAAATTAAATCTAAACTTTAGCAGTAATCTAAATTAATTATTTTCAGGTATTAGAAAACGTCATTGTGCGATGAGAGTCTCTCGTAAAATAGTTTCTCTTTCTTAAAAGCGGTAACTCTATGTAATTATTGTACCTTTCAATAATTATTTCAGTGAGCTATTATTATTTATTCTGACAATTTTCTCTTTTCCGAACGAAATCTAATAGTAATAAAATTATTGTACCTTTTAATAATAATTTCCGTGAGTTATCGTTATTTATTCTGACAATTTTCTTTTTCCCGAATGAAATCTAGTAGCAACGATCGTAGCTGCTGTAATTGACGCAAATTAATTGACTTTATATTTTAAATCAAACGGTGAGAGATGCCTTTCTTCCTTCACGGAATGAGACGTATACTCGGCATGGCTACCTCCGGCTACAGCCATTTCACAGACGTTCGCATTCTAGCTTTATATATGTCATAAACGAAATGTCTCGTCTCGCGAAATCTTCATGAATAAAGGAAATGGGCGTTCGGAGTAAAGACTGTACCCTTTAACCAAGAAGATAATTTATCCTAATGATCATCCTAATGATCAGGTCTCTGTATGCATTACGCATATTAATGTATATGAGTACGTATCTTTTTCATAAAGTTATTTTAACAAACTGTTAATAAATAGTTTCGCACATTAAAAGGAAATTATTAAGGAAATTGTTATACGAAATACAAATGCATGTCCAAATATACAAGGCACTTATTCAGTTGTAACCCAGTTGTTTCTAATGAGTTTCATGTTGACCATTACTTCCTTCTGGAATATGACTTTTGTTTCGAGAACTCTGTGTACATACATCTGTGAAATGATGAAAAATTTTTCTCCTCTATATTTATATTTACACGCCATTTTTACCATCATGCTTGTTTATTTGAAATTATAAATGTTTATTTATATATTTATATTTACAGAATATTAAATTGCATTAAAGGAAAAAAAAAGAACAAGAGTACTGCTAATTTAATTCTGTAATAAATCGTATTTTTTTATGTGTAGAAAAAAAACATGTCCTTTAACTTGACTCATTTTTTAAACTAAAGTGTCTGCAATGTTCTCCTCTACCGCTCCATTTCTTCGGTCCACAACGCGACTTCATTACCACAACCGTTTCACTGTTACCCATTTCCTCCTTCCAACTTCCTTTCCCACCTTTGAACATGTATGCATACGTCACACTGGAGAATTCAAAAATAACAATTGAACAAAACCACAATAGCACTCTTTAAAATACATTCAGCACGTGACAAAATGCAGAGAAAGTAAACTCGCCTCTCTTGCCCGTTGAGAAATGTGAGAAGAGTTGAACCATTCTAAAGTGATTTGCATGTTAAATTATATATTATAGATGTCAAAAAAGTAATAAGATTATATGATTCTCATTGTGTTTTGCCGCCGAGGGATATTATAAAAATTTTAAAAACCTTGAAGAGACGATTCTTCACACAAATTTCACAGCGCGCGACGGGATAATAGCGCCTCGAATAATTACAGCTTTTTGAGGACGTCACCCAACGTCTAAGTCTCGCCGTCTCCCCGACAAATCGACAAACACGGAATGTGCATTATCACCGTCTCGAACATTACATGCGCGATCGTGTTACGGTTAGTCATGTCTTATGCGCGGTGACAAATAATTCTAGCCCTTCAATTGCTGCCTCGAGGCGCGCGGCGCGGTATATCAAACGCTCGGATGTATGCCCGCGTGAAACGGAATCCTTGAATAACCGCGCGAGTGATATTAGAGGTAGGGACGACGCTTAAGCGACGATCGTAAACGTGTATCTATCTTCGTCCGTCCGTCCCTATTTCTACCCCTCGCAGGAATAAATCCACGTCCGTCTAGCTGCGAACTAGCAGAAACAAACGCGTGATAAATGCATTTGGGGAAGAGAACGCGGGGGAGGGGGGAGGGACCCTCCATGTGGAAAGCGAGTTACGTTTATACGTATAAGGATATTGGTTGCGGCATGCCGGTTTTTGATAGAGATGCCGAGTAATTCGAATTATGCTAATTGTAAATTGGATGACGCACGAGTCCCGGTTATTTTCCGACAAACGTTTCGTCAGTCCCGTCATTAATTTTGATACGTCAACGGGAGGATGTGAAAGAAATGTAATTTGTAAAAAAAATATTTTAAGCTGTACATTTCAAAAATACTCCGCACGAGGAGCGACGAGAGAGAGAGAGAGACACATCGCTCGCATTAATTATGTAAAATTTAATCGTGATATTAATGAAAAAAGTTTAGCTACGGCAAAATTTGAAAAATTTAATTAAATCATTTAGATCCTTTGCTCTCCTCTCTTACGCTCTCTCATGTATTCGAGACATCGTCGCTCGCTTTCAACAGTCGTAATACGATAAAAGGGTGAAAAAAACGCGCATCTAATTTGCATAGACTTTATTTTTATCTTTTTTGTTTTTTTACATTTGCTGCTTCCTACAATCTAGTTCCCGTAATGCGAGTGAAACGAGAGAAAGAAGACGAGGAAAGCTTCGCTTGAGCGTTCGAGACACGTCTTTGTTCCCGTTTTTACGCAAAAATACATTTGTTAAGCGGTACTCATTGCTTGTGAACGCGCCAGCTATGAAATCGTAAATAAAACAGCTTCTACAAAATCATTCGAGAAAAAAAAAATGATGCAAATTCGCAAGTGTTTTCCATGATAAAACATTTATAAAATTAAAATGTAAATAATAATAGATCAGTTTTGACTTATAGTTCGATAAATGCATTTGTACTAACGGCTACTGAAATAAGCGGTTAAGACAGAGAAAATATTTGAGTATAAAAATATCCATATAAGATCTTTCTCAGATTAAAAAGAATAAAAAAGCTTCACGAGATAGACGCAAGTTCGATGGAATTTGGTCATCGGGGAGTAGCGAGAATCGATATCGCGGTATCATATGGGAGTTTCAGCGATTAAAACGTACAAGATTGTGCATTCCTGCGCAACGGAGAATCTCTCTTTCTCTCTTCCTCTCTCTCTCCCTGTCTCTCGATTAATCTTCCGTCATTGAGATATGGAAATAGCGTTTCGCCCACCTCCGGCTTTTTATTCGCTCCCGTCCCGCCATCGTCGTTCCGGCGTTCGCCACCCGAGGATATAGACTTGGATGGGAAACGTGTCGCCTTTCCACGCAATCAGTCGCGATTCTACGACGGATATTGCAGGACTGAAAATGCGCGGGGCGAGGATCGAGAGGCTGGGACTCTCGACGGAGATGCGCGAGCGGCCCAGCGGTCGGATTAGTTGGCGAAGGTGAGGGTGTTGCTCATGCTTCCGGATCGCACCCGCGGCAACACGGTGTCCGCGTGACGGATGGTGATCTGCGTGACCGCCATGTTGCCGGTCAGGAATTGGGCCAGGGTCTCCACACCAGGGCGGGGTCTACGATCGAACGGGTAGCCCATGGGTCGCGCGTCCGGATACTTGCGATCCCGCAGGCCGCAGAAGCTCACCGCGTCCTTGCATCCGGTCGATTCGTCCTGCTCCACCTGTACGCGTCGACGTGAGTTAACAAAGCAATTCCTTTAGCGTGTTACCCTCTTTTTCCCCCCTTTTTTCCCCTTTATCTTTCTATTATTTTTTTTTTTTGCTCAAAAATGGAGTGGCGCGAACGTCTTTTCGTGTACCGGAACGTCGCCATTAAAAGAGAGGAAAAAAAGAAGGGAGGAAAGAGGGATGTGAGGGGAAAGGTGGAAGGTGGTTTCCATCACCTGGAGCAGACTGTAAGCTCTTAAGCGCCACGAGAACCCGATAAGTATAAAAAGTACTCACCGCGTCACCGGTGTAATCGGATATCATGATGAAGAGGTCCATCGGGAATCCCTCCTCCTTGCCCTTAGGTACCAGCATGTGCTGCGGCCAGCCGCACCCGCAGAAGTTGAACTGTTCCAGGTTATCGCCGCCGATTGGTCTGTTCTCCTCGAGATTGCGGAACGTCCTCTCGAACGGTATAGTTACCGATGACTCCGTTGATTTACGCTCAATAGTGTTCGATCCCGGTTTCACTGGCGGCAAATGAAAGAAAATTTCATAATGTACAATACAAAAAATATAAAATGTCTCTTGCTTTTAGACGACTGCTTTTTAAAAAATTACATTTGTGTTTAAAAAATTACGCGTAAAATGTAAAATTGAATTGGTGACAGAAATCACGGTATATTTTTTCTTATCTTTTCCCGACTTTTTACGTGTGAAAAAATAAATTATAATGTCTAAAACGTCGCAACCGTTGGAGTTGATGTTGGAGTTAACAAGCAAACGAATTGCGTATACGTTCAACATTTTAGATAATTTTAAATACTAGAATTACTTTAGACATATATTATTTTACATCATCATTTTATATCTAGAAATTAAGAAAGAATTATAATGACGATCTCTCTTAGTACAATATAACAACTTACATAATACAGTAAATTTGTCCATCTCGATCATGAGTTCCTTCTGACTCGTGAAGACGAAGGGAAGTCCACGTTCGTCCTGTCTGGGCGCGATGAATATGCGAACCGTTCCTCGTTTCGGCGTGTTATTGCGATTATTGGCGACGATTCTGTACGTGAAGTCGCCGTGATTCAGATGGGTGAATCTGGCGAGAACTGCACCGCGAGGCGTGAAGTCCAGACCGCGAGATAGATCAACGTCGCTCTTGTTCCAGAAGGTCGAAATCAGATTCGCCGGCTGATTCGGAGTCTGCACTTCTATATCTGTGATCACTACGCCGGGGAAGTCCAACTAAAACCCCACGAATGAACGGAAGAAGGCAATTAAATTCTGCCATTTTCTCTCGGCGTTTTAGTTCCGGAATAAATGTAGAATTTCTTTTAAAAAAATTTTAAACCGGAGCTTAATTAAAAGACGCATTATATTGAAAGTAAAGATAATCTAATCTATGAAAAAAATATATAAGAACGTAAGAAAGTAGCGAAGCTAAATTAATCTCAATTAATTTCAAAAGCAATTTATTGCTACACTTTTAAATTGCCCTTTAATCAACAACAACTTTAATCTTAAATTTAAATTTCTAATGTTGAAATCTACGAGATTGTGTTAATGAGACTTGATTAAAATACTTTAATTAAATTATATAAATTCGTACTTGTACAGAATGTTAAATTTCAAAGATTTTTTACGGAGAGACGCGAGACAAGAGAATGTAGCGTATTATTCGCGAATATAGAGAAAAATTGAAGCGCCATTTGTCGCGTCAGTGTTTAACAAGATCGCCTGACAAAAAGATTGATAAATTCCGATGAAGATTGATAAATCTTTTGCGGCCTCGTTGGGTTAAATGGTTTAACCCAACCGGACGTTTTTATTGTCGAGTGATTTCGCTAATCCTGAGCCACATGGTACGCGTATTTAGCAACATTATATACTAGAATGAACCGATGATATATCGCGGAAACGAGACAGCTGTGTACACCCACCTGCTGTAGGGTGTACTCGGGAAGTGTATTCTTGTGCTCCAGGAACACATCGTCGACAAAAGCGTGATATCTATAGAAGATGGGATCTCTCATGGCGGTGGCCGGTTCTCCCATGATGCCGAAAGTTTCCTGCGTGGGTACAAAAAAAAATGTTTCCCTTTATCATTCCGGAGTAGTATGATTATTCGCATTTTTTTTTCAAAGTGAAAGATATGAGCGGGCGCGGAAAGTTACGCGCTCTCGTTTTTCAACCGTTTTTATATTACAAAATAAGAAGGGAATAACAAATGCGTTAACGAGTGCGTGGAGAAGAGAAGCGGCTGGAGAAGAGTGTATTCAATGTAATTAAAACTATAAAATTAACATCATAAATTTAAGCTGGAAATTTTTATAATTTTAATTTTATCGGATACTTTGAATAAGATAAATTATAACAGTGCACGATTATGTCTCGTTACCAAGTAGCGATGATCGGGATCGTGACAGTAAGAGATGGCGACGTGACCGAGATTATGAAGATCGCCATAGACATTCGGACTGGGCGATAGGATGCTGGCCTCCATGATGTTACCGAGCACGTCCACGCCACCGAACTCGGTCAAAGCCACTCTCTCGCCGCGGGGGCTGATGTAGGCGCCGGTGTGAATGGCTTCGTAGATACGATCGCGCCATCTCTCTAGATCCTGAAGGTCGAAGTTGAGCTGATCCACGGGACGGTTGATATCCTTAAGAATGGCGCCGGCGGAGCGGGCGGGCCAGGTGCGGCTGGCCACCAGCGAATCTAACTTGGGGAAATAGCCCTCCGGGATCGGCTCGCGCCAATTGTGGAAGCGCTTCACTCGGCCCAATCGGTTGCACAGACGCTCGCAATTGTATCTGCGAAAAGAGAGATCAGACGGAACTCGAATAATAACACGGGGACCGCGGAAATTCCTATCGGGAGCGCCCGGCAGGCGATATTCGGATATTTCATACTGCAACGTAAATCGAAGATTCTTCTATTAGACAATAGGAAAGACACCACGGCGAGGAGGCGCCCCTATTTATAAATGCGTAGATTGTTAAAATTGTTAAAAGCAATAATTACAATATACAGATATCTGACTGATGCGGATATCTGAAATTATTCGACACGAAGATACTCCAGCCTGCCGATGGAAGCCATCTATTTGTCTATTTGTTTGAAACATATATCGGCTGTGATTATCATTATTGTTATCTGACTGATATTACAAATTACAGATTTCAAAGAGATACCAAGTTTTCAAGTTCAAAAGTAATTCCTCGTATAATATCTTCCAATTTCGTATTCCGACAAGTGCTTCAACAGATATTTAAATTTATACCTATTTTCGAAATTCATCGCGTAACAACGTCGCTTCGTTGTTCCACGCGTAAATGCATTTTCGAGCTCGTTAGCAAACATTGTTGGAATACTATACAGAATTGAGACGAGTTCCCGCGCGATAATAACGATCGAGATCGAGGCGATCTAGTCGCCTATAAGCCGCGTGATCTCGCAGCGTGGCGGAATAGGGTATCCAATCTTATCGACTTACGTTCGCGCGCTCGTTGGCGCACCTACCTGGCTTGGATCTGATGGTGCATATAGTAGAACAGCTCGCCACGCCGATCCTTGTTAACAATCCTGATGTCGGTCTCGAATGGATAGACCAGATGCCAGTGCCAGTGATGAAGATTGATCCCGATATCTTCCCTCCAATAAGCCACACGATGCTCCTCGTCGAGATCCGACGCGGTATAATCCCGCGGAATTTCGATAGGTAGCTACGAACAGGAGATAACAAGATGATAATAATAATAATAATAATAATAATAATAATAATAATAAACAATTTTGTATTTTAACATAAAGCAGCTTTTATTATGTCGACCTATTTTATAATATGGATCATTATGTTAAAGGATGCCAGAGAACTGAAGGTTGATGAACAGAGATAGAGGTAGAAACAAAGAAGCGATCTTCAAGAAAATATGGAAGGAAGAGTTAGATTGGGCAAAAGGGAATGTTTTAAGAAAAGTATAGAAAGGAAAGAGAAAAAGAATATAGAAAAGAGAGAAAAGTGAAAAGGATTGGATGATAAGATAGGCTGTGATAGGTTTAAATAAGTGAAATAAGTATTAAATGTAAAATAGGAAGAACAAGTGGAATTTTTTGAAAGCGAAAAATGAAGTAAAAGAACTTGTAAGAATAAGAGTAGAGTAAGTTAGATAATAAGGTATGGAAAGATGAACGTGGATATATAATTTCCTTGTAAATCAAGGCCTCTTCTTAGCTGTATAGCTGAAATGTAAATAAATTCTATTCTATTCTATGTCGATCTATTTTTCTAAATTTTATCGCGTTACGTTTACTCGATAACACTTTAGTTGATGATTAACAGGAAGCTGAAAGTTGTTGAGATAGAGAACAAACTCAATGATCTAAAGTATGTAAATTAAAGTGAAAAATTGCGAACAAGTGACATTAAACGTTTCATTAGCTACGCGTTATTTTTAAAGAATGCAATCGATCGTTTTATTGCCTCGTCTTATATTCTTCGAAACTTGAAACTAAGGAGTGTCGGAAGGACTGAAAAGCTTTTCACTACAGCAATTTACATTACAGTCATTCGACTTGCACTCAAAGAATAAGCTAACTAATTAAGCCGCATAATTGAGTAACGAGCCTGTTGGTAATTAATGCATCAGAGAACAAGTACCCTCGAGCCAGCTGGTACAACGTTGGCTTCCTCCCTTGCTCTGGCGAATACCCCACTGTCGATATACTTGTCCGGGAAAATTTCCGACAGCGGTGGTATCGGTAGATCCTTGGTATCAGGACGATGCAGAATCGCCACCGAGAGCGCGTAGATGAACATCTGGGGATTAATGCGATCGTGACAGTAAACCGACACCGAAAGGAAGTCATCATACGTTCGCATACCTATAAAACGGATTAATATATTAATGACGATAGCTGATTAGCGAAATACTCGCTTAGACCGAGTTCGCGTTCGAATAGAATAATTCAGAACAAATTTTAATTTTTATTCTTACAATCTTTAAGAAAATTTATTATCTGAAAAGTATATATATATATATATATATATATATATATATATATATATATATATATTATATATATATA